TTACTGAGTTCTCTGGTTCAGGCAAAAAGATTTCAACAAGAATTATGGGAACGCAACTATGAATGGGATAGTGCACTACCAGGAAAAGTTCGAGATCATTGGAACACCATCTGTAGTATCGTACATGGGTCCCAACGCACTCTGGATAGGCGCCTTTTGAATATTGCAACACATTGCGATTTAGCGATTTTCTCAGACGCTGGTTCCATTGCGATGTCAGCATGCGCCTACATTTTTAATGACAAACAATCAACACTAATCATGGCCAAAAATAAATTACCATCAATAAAAAGCAACCCTACCATCTCCGAAATGGAAATGGATGCGTTAACTATAGGAGCACGACTGGCAATTTCCATTGTCACTGCAGTTAAAAGATCTCTTCCTTAAGGCCTCGACAATATCCATATATTTTCCGTTTCGCAAATTGTGTTGAATTAGCTAGAAAGTGACCCATATCACTCCTATCTTAGGCTTTTAGTCAGCAATCGATTGAAGGAACTCAGACGCATAGTAGAAGCACTGCACAAAGAGGGTGTTCAGTTGAACCTCAGATTCGTACCCACAAATGAAAACCCAGCCGACGCCGGAACCAGAGGTCTTACCAAAGCGCAAGTGACTCACTTTGGTGGCACGGACCGACCTTTCTAACTAACCCCATCGATACGTGGCCGAATCCTTCCTATCAGTTCAAGCTAGAAAGTCACCCAACATCTGGACTAGTGAACGCGCTAACTCCAGAATCTAGCGGGAAAACAACAAAACCATTGCTTGACTCGAAACGCTTCAGTTCGCTAGCAAAAACAAAAAAGCTCATGCTCTAGTAATGATCGTTATCAAAAAACTGATTAACTCTCTTCCTCAGTCACGAAAAAACACAATAATCTAAAATATCCCAGAAATCAAGTATTTTTCGAATTACACTGTGGACATTGACGGGAAAACGCTAGCAGCGTCGCGAAAAATGCTAATATGCGACCACCCATTGATATACGTCACAAAGGAATATCAAAAACGTATGGACAATAGACTAGCCCTATTTTAGGATAGTTACGACATACGACATGGCGTACATAAAGCCGCGTTAGTAACTCTGTCCTAGACGATGACACAAAAACCCCGTGTTCATATACCCGAAAACACAGCTAGCAAGCCTTATCATAAAAGAAGCGCACGGGGAATATCACCAAGGTATTGCACATACGATCGCAACAGTACGCTCACAAAACTGGATCCCGAAATTACTTCAACAAGTTCGTCACCTAGTAAAGAACTACGTAGCTTGTCGCAGATTCAATGGCTTACCCTATGCTTACCCGCCAACGGAAAACTTACCCAGTCGCCGAGTACATCGCAGCCACACACTCCAACATGTAGGCCTGGACTTTTTCGATCTTCCACCACTAAAAGAAAAAGAGGAAGAACTCACAGGTTATGGATGCATATTTACATGCGCGGTCACACGGCTGATTCACTTAGAACCAGTAGGAAGCATGTCAACGGAAGACTTCTTGAATGCGCTTCGAAGGTTTACAGCCTGAAGAGGGGTACCCTCGACAATCACGAGTGACAACGCTCCCACAGTCCTTCTCAGCGTAGAAATCTTATCACCGGTTTCCATCCCGTTAGCGAATTCGACCATCAGAGAAGGCCCTGCCCAGAGAGAAAATGAATGGAAAAATATCACACCGCACGCACCTTGGCAAGGGGGCTTTTATGAACGCTTAATCAAGTCAATAAAACATGCCCTCTCCAAGTCAATCACGGGAAAACCGCTACACTCATTGGATAATCTCGCTACAATTCTGACAGAAGTCGAGGCATGTCTGAACTCTAGTCCTTTATCTTATCAGGGATCTGAATTAGATATATTAGGCTCTATCCGCCCCATTGAGTTTAGGTAGGGTGTGGGTAGTAAGGTTATGGATCTCATGGTCACCTGAATCAAGGGAAACTGTACCGGTATGTTTGGGAGAATTGTAGAAACGAATCGACTGTGACCTGATTGATCTTCTATTGAGAGCGCAAGTTTTACCCTTTCCGTCCAATGGGAGCAGCGAAAGAATTTGTATATTTTGTCATTTTTGGTTCTGCGTAGATGCGGTAGAATGAGCAGCCCAGACTTGGCCAGAAGCACCCACACCAGGGGTCACCACAGGGTTCAATGCAGCCCGTGTGGCCAGGATAATTGTTTGCTAGCTCTAGTTCTTTTGAAAGACTCGATGCATTTACATTGGCGCATTTTTTTCTACACATGAACCTTCATGCGCGCAGCGCTTGCTGTCTGTTATCTAAGTTTAGTAGAGCAAGTGGAGAACAGGGTTTCCTTTTCACAGATGAGGTACAACCCTTTCCAGCGTATTTTATATTAGCAATCAACGAGGAGTTTCTTGTAAGGTGGAGACAAGCTTCTTGGTGAAATGTTTTAATTTTTATTAGTTCTTTAATAACAACTCTGCAGTCTTCCTTATTTTTTGTTTGTGTGCAGATCGTGGAGTGGTATTGTATCGTGGAGTGGTACTCGTTGGCATGCAAAGGCAATTTGTTGCAATAGACATGTTGCAAGAGATATGATTGCTAATGCCAGGGTGATGCGCTCGCTTCTTGGTCGTACGTTACGCAAAGGGAAGCGTGAAAGGCGCATGAAACATTTTTGTAACAGATAATGTCCTAGGCGCATGATTACTAAAGTTCCAAGAAGAATGATTCGGATTGGTTTTCCAATAGTCATGGGAACGAGTAAAATAAGCAAGTGTTGGCCTCGTCCCCTTTGCAGGGGCAATTTCAGGAGAAGAGTAGTTCCTCAGACTTCTGACCTGCCAGCGTGATGGTATAGGTCCTAGTGTGCCCCAGAGGGAAAGCTTCGCTTGTTTTCGTCAATCTCGGCATAAAGATTGGCGCGGACCACTACATCGAGCACGTCTTCCAGAATTACTGCCTTGGAGCCAGGCACAACTCAGAAATCAGCACTGTGTGTGCTAACAAGATTCTGCTCACGCACACACGTCGCTGATGTTGCAGGCCTGGTGAGCGGCCAAGGTGCCGGCGCTCATCCTTGCCAATGGAAGGCCGCTCAACTCGGTTCTGAAAAAGGCTTAGGATGCAACCGATGTCAAATACTGTGGTCGTCATCGGCTCGTACCTTGAGCGTCTGAAGGCTGTTGTGAAGGATAAAGAAGGCCACGGAAGTCTCACTTTGGATTTTAGTTTGCGCCGGTCGCAGTAAACTATGTATGTGCCGAGTCTGATTGCTTTTGTATTATGTCAGATTGTTGGTTTTTTCATGTAACGCAACTTTGGGCTACCCTGAAACTCCAAGTACCTTGGGTGGGCAATCGCGTCTGACGGTAGTTCGAATTTTTAAGTTGGTTAACGTTCGAGTGCGACATTGTTTGAACAGCGCACAATGACTAGTATTCTCTACTGGGAGAACGCACTGGAGATCATCATATCAAAAACGTACAGGATCGCGACATATCATATAGTGCTGTCCAGTAATTAGAGAAGTGAAGTTCACGTTCAGGAAATGATCAGACACGCAAAGTTGCAATAAGGAAGCCTTTGAAAGAAGCCCTTCCTCTATAAATAGGCGCAAAGCTTGCTTTTGAATATGTTAGTGTTTACATCCTTCCGTTCCACCTCAGCTTCGTGGTTCTCAGAAACAGTCTGAAGGTCGTCCGGAGCATCTTGCATGGAGATATAAATTCAGTTGGCGTCTATTCCGACCAGGCATTCAGTGGGAATGGTGGTGTCAACATAAAAGATGGATTCCGTCTCTAAGAAAATCAAGCGCTGAACATGAAGAAGAAGAACCGCTGTAAAAAAATCATAAATAAGGAGTGGGTGACAGTTTCCTCTCAAAGTGATGGCTACATTGTCATTTTCTTCCAAGCGAAGGGAACTAGAGGAAAACCAGCGAAATCATCGCGTAGCTTTTAGAATATCCAGTCAGGGGACACTGGCGTGATAATATTATAATAATCCTGGATGATTTCTTCATTTCAGTATTTTTTTCCTTTTCTCCTTTGCCTTATCAAACTTTTCATCCGAGATTTGATTGCCACACAAAACGGGTTTTAAAGTCGCGTGAATGCGTTACACAGTGAATTAGTAGTTCTCGCTGGGGCACGTTATTTGTACTAGAGAACGGGCGCTTCAACCCTTTTACCTTGGTCTTTTGAATTTCTTCCTTGTTAGAGGCAACAAGTCAGGTCTTATCAGTGAGGACAAGAATCGTCATGTTCCCAGTATCCATAATTCTAAAATTGTATTTGAAGGGGAAGTAAAGAGAATAGGAAGAAGAATCTGGTAAATAAAAGTTAGGAAATCATGTGAACAAAATTAATGAAAAAGTCTCCAATAGGTTTTGAAAAGTCTCCAATAGGTTTTGTTGTTTTTACAAAAGATTGCTTGGATACGCGTACGTTTTGAAAGCACAGTTTGCAATGAAAATGGTTTCTGAGTTCCCCCCTAGGAACACAGGCCCCCGAGGTGACAGGAAGGGCGCTGTCGGTTCCAAAAGTCAACGGCTAGGGATAGTGGGAGCCCCATTACCGGATCGCCCGGATGCCACGTCCATCGACCGATGATGTGACAGACGAGTGTCGAGGCGATACAGATTGCAATATTTGCGCCAGGACCCACACGTTCAGCACGCAATTAGCTGATTGCCGAGTGATGACGAAGTTATTCTTATTCTGTTACTCTTTTATACTTTTTGCTGCTGCAGTCGTTTATCTAATTATCTAACTCGAGAGGCTGAAGAAGGTGAACTATTTTTGCTGCTACTGAGGTTTCTGTTGACTTATGCTTATAAGTGAATAAATTCTAAAGGACATTTTTGCTCACTGTATTCAGCTATTCGCACCAGGACCAGCACGTACGCAATGACACACATTGTACAGCTCATTCACACACCCCCTCTTCTTCATTTTGTGGTCCCAGCCCCCTTTTTAACGGTCTTTTCGGAGCCTTTTATTAGATTGGAAGCACCGGTTCGCGCAGTTTGGAAGCACCGATTCGCGCAGTTTCTTCGCCTTCATCGCACTATTTTCTACCTTATCTCCTACCTTTAATTACAGCTCTGTTTCCTACGATTTCCGATCCCCGATTTGAGCATATTATTGAACTTTCACTTGCCTAACTTCCTAAGCTTTCCCTTTCTCCATTTGTACTCAGCAAGTTTTGTTAGCATTCTGTACCCATATTCCTGTTAGTATACTTGTCTAGCTAGAAATTGAGCAGTGGTGAGATCAATTACAGTCTTTGTGTGATTTGTGGTAAGATTACATATGTAATCGAAACTAAGAAACGAGATTTATGAACAACTGATGAGAAATATTCGGCCGCTTCCCGTGATCGAAGATGTAGGGGAGATGAAAGTATAAATTGGAAGGCGTTTGTAAACATGCTCGCTGCATTTCACGAAAAATTGGTGGAACACCAGAAAATAGATTTTCGAAGATTATTTGAAGCAAATTGCATCTTTTACAGAACAACATTTAATAGCCCTCTTTCCTCCTGATTTCGAACGAGATTGAGGACGAGAGCGAAGCACTTCAGTAGAAACAGGGGTTCACTCTAGTTTATCAGAGTAATAAACAGGAATACCAGATGTCCTATCTACGTCTGAATACATGATTCTCGACAATAACTCTACAAACGGTAATTTAGTGGAGAACAAGAATTCACGACAATAATTCTCCAAACCAGTAATTTGATAGGCTTTTTTCTAAAAACCTCATTTTCCTCGGTTTCTTCACCTTATAATCAATTAATGGAAGCGTATGGAAGATTCAATGACCTTTTATTCAATTCCCTAATTATGAAGAGGAAACCTTAGGAGTTCTACCGTCCGCACTCTGATGCAACAACGCGCTCCAGTGAGAACTCGGGTTACTGTGTGACACATTCACCAAACGTTTGAACCCGTCTTGTATTGCCACTGCATTTGCTCCCTATTTTTGAACCCGTCTTGTATTGCCACTGCATTTGCTCCCTATTGAGACCTTAATTCTTGCATGTGCACCATCAGTCTATTCAGTAAATTTTTGGACGACCTACTATTAAAATCGGATCCGGCATCTTCTCCACGAAAGCGTCGCGTTCTCCGCACCCGATCGCGCGCTCTGGAGGGAAAGGCTCGAATGAATTCCCAGTGCTAAGGAAGGATAGGGTAGCCGCTGCGTGACCTTTGCCGCTTGTCGTGGGAATTCGGGAAAGGTTCCGGCACTCATCAAAGTCGATGCTATTTCACCTCGAGACGGGTCTGGCATCGGTTGAATAACAATGAAGATATGGAATCTCTTACAAGAGAAGAGTTTTATTGTAGTTCGCGAATAGAATAAGAATAAGAATAGAACAAGAATAGAAGCATTTTGATCATGTTAGGAAACCCAATTAAACATCCATATCATCGATCCAAAGCTGATGTGGAGCGATGGCGTGGTAGGGAAAGTGCTGGACTCGTGATTGTTGCTAAGCCCGCATCTTCAATGCATAAACTTTTTCTATTATCTGGGAAACGTGTCCTGATTCATTTTGAAAAAGTTTTGCATATTTTATCGGCTATCCGCGGTCTTCGCTTCGCTAACAAGAATCAGAAATGGTTCCCCAAATAATCATTTGAGGCCCTTACTAATCGCTCTATCCCAAATACTCAAGACAGGATACAGAATTTTCAAACTGCAGGCTGCGTTTCGAAAAAAAGCGATTAGAGTGACTTGTCATCTCGGTGTTAATCTCTTCGTTTTGGATTTGATCATATCTTTCGAGGCGAAGTGGCGCTTATACAATTGTCATGACGACATAAGGTAAATATTAGAATCCTGCCTCCTTGCTGCATGAGCATGTTTCGCTTTTTGAAAAAAGTATGCTCCACGCCAGACTCTGGAGACTCCTCGGTGAATTGCATCCAAAACCTTAAATACAGTAAAGACAGTGATTACTCGTGAGCTCGCGCCATTCGCGGGCATTTGTGGCTTCACTCTACGCAGACGCAAGACAATGAATTTCCAGAGTCTCAGGGAGTTCAAATTGTTAGCTCTTACGCCGCGGGTGAGCTGAAGCAGTAGTTAACAATCAAAATTCTCCAGTAAAGCGGAAATCGTTATCTAGGGCTTTGCTCGACTATCATTACAGACGTGAACGTGGCGTGAACGTTTCTCCTTCCTCTTCCCCTCCCTTGGAGAACTTTTCGGGAGGTCACTGACGCGGCATCAGTATTTGTAATTCATATAATTACTGTAAGGAAAGTCGCGGTGCCAACCAAGAGCTCCACTGGGCTCAACCTTTCCATCATTGTTTTTGATTTTTAGCCGTCATAATTTTTTTACTGTAAATGGAAAGTTGATTTTGGAATCCCAGTATGTCCCACAAGCTTCGAAGATGACAACCCAGTCGAAGCGATAGCCGGCGACGAAGTTGTGATTACACAATGTAGGAGGTTCAATCATGTCCCTTCCCCTTGACGCTAGGGACACCCCGATTCTGTAGCAAGAACGATAACATTATTATGGAACGGAATGTGCCTTCAGTGGCAAAACACTTGTGATCCAGCAACTAGTCCTACTCTTTTTTTGCCGACATAAATGAAAAGTATTAGGTGCTGTACTCAGACTGCCATGAATGAAGGGAAAGATTTGCATTTTGCAGAATACCATTTGCGGGATTGGAAAGGATTCTTCAGAGGTTGTAGGTACACAACTCGTCTATATGAATGCACCATTTCCTTACCTGCCGCGCTTTCTTTCCGCATCCAATTCGTCCGCGACTTCGTTCTTCGGCAATACATACGTCGGTATAAAGCTCATATTTAATGGCCACTGCATCCTCGTAACCTTCCCTTGGAGGTAGTCTCATATTTAAGCAATTACCTACTTGATGCCAGGCCCGTCTGGACATGAAAAATATTTGATATGGATAATATGCATAACAGCGGCGCATTTAGAAAAGCTGAACGAAATTTCCAGAAAAGAATGGATTATGACTAAGAGCGTACACTCAGCAGAGAAGCACATTGACCTATGAAACATTTCGTGAGAATTAGGTGTATCGAAAGACTTGGAAGTTATGAAGCGGCTCCGAAATTTCGATTCACATAGGATATCACTGCTATATGAGTTTTCAGGGCAAAGTGCGAGCAACAAAGCCTGCTTGAGCATAGACGGTGCGAAAATGCACAGTTGACCATTCGGCACACGTATTGCAGTGGCATTGTGGCAATACAGGGTAACATGTGAACTGAGATCTTACGCAATTAGAAATGATGTCACAATTCTTTCCTCAGTTAGAGCTACACGCCTTATGGTGGCGAGCTCTACTACAAACCAGTGTTTATACAAAGTGCGTATCGATGAGGACAGATAAACTGTAGACGACACTGCTATCGTGTATCTCTGGAAACAGTTGTTTGAACTCAAAAACAGCTTAGATGGAGCACTGCCTCCTAACCTCTGCCATCTGAAACCTTTTCCTTTTGAGTAACGTGTTAGTGTTCCTGAATTCTAGCAACCTCTCCCGAGCCCAGTCAAATTCTCTTGAATTCAGTGCAATTGGATATATTAGCCGAACTGAATCACCTCTCACTTCCCGTCACTTTAGAGCAAGCTCCCGATGGAGCCGACATGCAAGATACCAACTGCATCCGCAAGCAATCCACACACGCATGCATGTGCTATACAAAGGGGATAAGCCGACTAAAAAAAGCAAAAGTTGGGAGTCCTTGCTCTGCGGTGTTGGAACGCCTCTTCCTTCTGCGTTTTCCACCACCATCTCCAGAGAAATGCCCATGACATGTGATAATGATTTGTCCTCTATCCAACATCTCAAGTTTTCGTTGTTATTGACTACTGAACACCGACATTTGTTTCAGGGCGCATTTGAAATGAGTTCGGATGACTTCTCTATTGCGTTTCCGTATCACATATGTTTCAACAAAAATTTATTTATTGAACATTTTGGACATTACATCAGGAATGCATACCCGTTTGCTATTCGGCAGGAAACCAGAGTGACAGATATTCTTGAATTAGTACACCCAGAGGCAAGTCTGACCAACTTTCTTCGAGGAAGAGAATCGATATATGTATATCTTTCGACATCGATATTACCTTTGAATCGATATATATTTTTCGACGTCGATATTACTCTTGAATCGATACATATTTTCGGACATCGATATTACTCTATTTCAGGTACCGTTTTCCTACGAATCGATTCTTGCCTTCAAGAATAGTTTGTTTGTATTCAAGATGAGAGGAATCGGAGATCTAGTGCACTGCAAGAAAGATGAAATAGAGCCCATCCTCCTCAAAGGTAATATGGATAACTTTGTTCACGTCTTGACAAGTATATATTTCTGCCCCCTCCCCATTCGATTGTTTGGCCTTGTCCCTAGCTATCAGCTGTGCCTCTATCAAAATTAATTATAAACTAACTCGGAATTTGATGATAAAATCAAGTAGTTTACTAGTAATTAATATTATCATTGATTCCCTCTAGGAGCTGGCGATTTGTAGGCATCGGCAAAGGTTTTTTGAAGGCATCGGAAGGGATTCGAACCCATACTTGTACTTTCGGGGAACCGAGCCTTTAATCCTTGAACTACCAAGACTCCGCTTGCCTTTGCCTTCTTAGTGGCTTATATGCCGTAGCATACCAGCACTTACACGTACAACGTTTTGAGCCAGGCACCCAACATCAGCATTGAGCCGTTAAGCCGTAAGCTTTTAGATGAGTAAGCCGTTCCGACTCGATGTTTTATGTTGTTATATTGGTTTTGCTGTTATATTGCCGCAGTACACGGTGCTAGAGTTCACTAGGGTGACGATTTGGGATAAAAACTTCTTAGTAGTTTTATATGCCATTATGTATGTATATGACCCATTAATAAGTCGAGGGCAAGCAGGCTCCGGTAGTGTAAGGAATAAGGAACACAGTGCCGGTAAAGTACACGTCCGGGTTCGAATCTCGTCTGAAACCGAAGTTCACGAATCATTTGAGTCGCTTACGTAGGTCTTACATTAAGTTTGCCACATTTCAGCTCGTCATTCACAATTTAGTATGATTGGCTATCCAGGCGCTCACAAGCATCGAACAATTGTGCGACATTAAATAAAAAATCTAACCAAACTTTAGTCTAGCAGGGACTGCTTAGCAAAGTAGAGATATGTTCTACAAAAAAATAGAAGCTGGGGTGGTTTTTTCAGAAACAAGAAAAGGACAAAACGTAGTAAAGCAGACATACTGGTAGGACAGGTAGGTCAGGGAGATGCTGGAGCGTTTCAATGACCCAGACGCTTACCGCATAGCTAATTCGGTGTAGCGGGCCAGGTAGTAAATAATAGGGGAGGCTGAATGTGAAATTTGCTATCAGCAACCAAGTGCAAACCCAGATCAGAACGTTCCGGGACATATTATAACGCGCATTGTGAAACTGTAGAAGATAACGATCTGGCTGGAAAGATTGATATTTCTCTAGAAAAATACATGCCCCTTTTTACACACTGATAGAAAATGCGTGCTATCAACCACCATGAGACGAAGATCTCCAGCTAGGAGGACCGCGCACTCGGTGAAGCTTGTGAGGTAGTTCCACCTCTAGAAAGTCATCAAAGAAGGACTTGCGTGAACAGATTGTGAAGGCTCAAATAGTGTATGGAGTGTAGGGAGTACGCTGGTGTCCGGTGCCTTCCAAGGTGCTCCAGAACGCCCATGGAAGAAATGAATTGGATAGCAAAGAGAACCGCAATGTCCTACGAAAGTGATTGCTGGTCCATAATTGAAGATACATTCTGGAATGGTGATAAAAGATCAATCTGCGGTTCGACCGACTGGAGCGAATCAGGGACGAATACTTCAGAGCGGCGATGAAATGGCTCCTCTACAGCCGAGCATGGAGATGCTGCTGTAGAGGAGCCAGCTCAGTACGTGTTGGTGCCATCTGCGATGGTATCAACAGGTGCTGTGGAAATCACGGAATCCTTCGATAAGAGAGAAAGTGCAATTCGAGACTCAAAGGAATCGACCACATGGGCCCTCAAGAAAAACATACACATGCATACACATACACATACACATACTCTACACATACACTTATCGAACTTGTGTATTTTATTTGTGGGAATAGCTGCTAATAAGTAATGTGCAACACTGTCATTCGCTAATACCTTTAAGAATATCCGGTAAATATGAGTATGAAATGTAGTAATAAATGTAGTAGTAAATATAAATATGAATATGACCAGTAGTATGATCCGAGTCGAGAGATATTGGATCGGGAATTGAAGTCAATAGCGACGAGCCGTAATACTGGTTTTTTAGGTTCAATGGTACTCATCGACGAAGGAAGCTATATTCTCTATATTTCTTCAGTGAATGTCACAACAGTGCGAGAATTAATAGAGCGAAACCTTCACATCAGTGATATGCAGAGGCACGATGGAACGAGGGATCTTATCATGCTCAATCAGAGCCGGATGAGTCAAGTGGAACTGAAGTGCGATGCTGCTAATGTCTGTTCTTCAATTAATGTTCCCAAAAGAAGTGTGCCGATCCTCAAATCGGATAATGGAAGGGAGCGGTAGTATTCAAGCCCAATCCACACAAACACGCTCATTAGCGCTACAAATCTTTGTAGCATTGGCGAGCGCCTCGCGACAAGCGCTTGTAGTGGTGTCGTGGCATGGAATTGTGGTGATTTTAACCGATAAAAGCCATCGTGCAAATATGCCATTTAGTTGCTACGCATTGTGTAAAGTGATTCGGCGGAATGGAAAAGCAGGAGACGCTGGTGCGATGCAATACCCACACCCTGATAACAGGATAACGTCGCGCGATGCATCGCATATTATAACGCTATCTCAAACTGCGATTTCGAGAAGGCGTTATAATATTGGCGAATTGTCTATGGAGCAAACGAATTGCACTGAATCATCATACTGATTCTACGATGGAGATTGCATTGAGCCGTTAATGCCATTTGAAGCCTAGCTTCTCAAAAACTATGCCCTATTATGTTTGAGGGTTCGCGAAGTCAGCAAATTTCTGGTGAGATTTCAGACTTCAGATGATAGAAAAAGGCAAATCGCTTAGTGCTAACTAGTTTAAAAAAATGGTGGGCATGTAAGATCTTCATCCATGTTTATTCATATAGCACCCTTTCGTTGTCTGCAGCATCAAACACGGAGCTGGCCTTCCGTCAAGCTGAGTCACTGACCGCGAACAGCCAAATTGACCATCGCTGCCTCGTGGCAGGCCATATCCAAGTTCTATCACCTCACCTGTATCACCTGTCATCCCGCTGATCATCGAGTTCCTCGCTCAGGCGAAGGGAACATCTGTTTAACCCTGTCGCGAGCCTTAATGGTCCAGTGGATCGTCTTTGCTCAAAGGTACAGTTCACGATAATCTTGAGGTACCTTTCAGGTTGGAAAGCGGAAGTGTTGATGTAGAGGAGTACATCGGTGACAGCGGAAGTGAGAAAATCCACCTATTCAAGTTTTTCAAAAGTAGTGGGAGTGGAGGTTGTGCGAGATAACCATGACGGGAATGGCATGCAAGGGTGTTTGGACGAGATTTAACTCGCTCCCATTGCGCAAAGAGATGACCACATCAAGCGAAATTGCCCGAAACTACCTTTCACTTCGGCAGTGGGTTATAAAAAGTGTTTAAACTTCCTACATAGCAGCCTCATGAGATAGCGCATCCTCCACAAGGCTGTTGAAGCTCGTCCAACATGGGTGTGGCGTTCAAACGATGCAAACTCTGGCTCCTTGTTGCATCCTATTCCAACCTTTTTTCGGCCCCATAACCACAGGTATAGTAAAAGGGGGGCCTCGAATTCATACTACAGGGGGATCTCAGAAACCCTTTTTATCGTTTACAGTGCCTTTAAGGAGCACGGAACGCACCATTCTCTTGTTTACTGCTTCCGAGAAGAAGTTTTGCAGGCGCTTTGATGTTTGTTTGACTTTTCAATGATGCTCTAGCTTACGCCAAGAAATTAAAGATCAAGTGGGCCGGACGCTCATGGGATACCGTGATGTCGTTGGACAAGGGCGATTACTGACTGGATCTCTCTGTACAACGCTGATTACGCAGTAGGATCTGGGGACAATAAGACTGGACACGTGGTGCAATGTTCTGAAGCCGATTGAGTTCCAGTCATAACCCTTCAGAGATGACCATCGCACTTCATGAACTGCGTGTTACCATGGATAGTGTGGGTCGGTAGGTTTGAAAACTCGGACAGTTTTTCACTCTGCTCATTCTGTTTCGTGAGTCTCGAAGGAGCTCTCCGGCCGTTCTGGAGCCAATTTGGAGTAGAAATCACCGACAATGACTTTGAGAAAGTGTAGTTCTTTTTGAAGAGCCTTTCTAGGTTTTCATGAAGCACTTCCAATGTATAATACGCTCTTAACTTCTTTTCGAAGCTTGATGTTGGCGCATAAGCGACGGAAATCGTAGTAGAGTTCTTAATGAGCCAAATTCTCTCAATCGCTAACTTCCGATTCGGTATGTCAAGATTGTCCCAAATGATGTTCATGGTCTAGTGCATATGACGAACATACCTACATCCCCCGACGCCTCTGCTGCGGCATATTCTATAAAGGAATTCTGCTCCAGTCCTTTACGTCTCGTTCAGTCCGATGACGTCATGCTTGATCTTACTAACCTGCATCACCAGGTAAACGCTTCCAATGCGAGTTCGCGCTGTGAAAGTACAGATCGTCATGTTGACCTTTCTCTTTTTTTTTGGGCATCCTCTCAGTTGTCCTTTCAAACGCTGCCAAATTGAAGGCTCCCTCAGGTTCAATGGGATGAGGCTCACTCACGCCATTCTTTTAGGCATATGAGTACCCACTAGTAGCTTACCAGGTTATGTCACAGGCTATGTCACAGTGGACGATGGGCATTATTCATCGACGCGACCTCGAGTCGCCTACCCGATACCTCCCAGTCACTCGAGTGCAAGCTTTCGGCTGAACTGATGCGCAGGATCAACTGCTCCCGCAGACTCTCCGCATGCGTGCGCGCGAAAGCACCTCGACATATGGAAGGTATATCGACCTAGCACAGCAGAAACATGAGTCCATTCACTAAATCCAACTGCGTCTCTAGCAAGTATCGGTGACTTTTAATTGGCAAATTACTCCACTATCCGCCCCTTGGGTCGCCCTACGTAGCCTCGTCGCTAACCGGCCAGAAAATATTCATCGAGAGGAAATCCGGAGTGAAGGAAATCCCTAGCCTTAAGTTCTCTGTTTAGGTATTGCATTATCTCAAGCACCTGCGGGGGCCTGAATGTGTTCCGTGTTTAGGACTTGGACACTGTTTTATCCAGCTCTCAATAATACCAGTTTCGATGACATGCTTGGAATTCGAAAGAGAGTTCTATACGACATTATTGTACACACCGCAAACCGAAAAAATTTTCTTCAAGATTCTAGTCTTGCGACTATAATGTAGACCAATGAAGGAACTTATTCTGTCTCCCTATTTCTTCTTTTACTAAGTGAAACCAGCCATGATCCTCTTATTCACGCCTCGCGCCAATTTCTACAGCTCCTACTAACTTAGATTTTTCAAATATTCAGATCGCCTCAAATGCTTACTTGCAAAGATCATAGGCCACTGGGTTGGGGAGCTTTGAGACATGGCGACACATATGTACTCCAGAAGGAAATGGAGAAATTGAGGGATTGCTCACCGAAATTCTACGTAAAATGCTTCTTTTTCTGAATCCTCTGTCCTAAACTTGGTGGAAGTTGTTTATCAGTCTACTCTGGTGATTATTTATTTACTTATGTATAGGACAGCGCCAAAAAAGAATAAAAACGGCCATAAGGATTAAAGAACTAGAACGATGCAGCGCAAAGGAACATATGAATGAATAAGGAAATGACAACTATGCTTGTAAAATATTCTCAATTACTTTATGTTTGAAGGGCGCCTGAGAGTCTGAGGTGAGAGGGCCGGTTCATTTTTGGTTGCCTGACCAGAATCCAGAACGCCTCCAGGGTTTTGCGCGCGGCTGCCTGGGTTTCCCGCGCCCGACCTCGACGATGACCTCAAAAACGTCCCCGTTATGGTTTCCAGCCTGTGGCAACCTAAGGCAGTAGATAGCCGCGATCTCGCCTTCCCCTCTAAATGCTCCCTAACACGAACGTAAGACGGCCTGGCCGTCTCCCCTATATTCTCTCCACAATCTCGACAAATGATCCTGTAAACCACACCTGCGGTGGCACAGTCTCACTCTCTGCCACTGGGACAGACTACACAATTCTCAGTGGCGCATGTGCGGTCATAAAGACGGTTTCGAACAAGGTGATATTTTAGGTTGTTGGGAGGAATATCCACAAGGCCAACAGTGTCTTCTAGACCGCCTGCCGTGGACCGATGAGAATGCGGGGGGCGCTTGTAGCCATTGAGCTCAGCGATTTTCTGTGCCATTTCCACTGACTCTTTCCTTTCATCCTCGCCGGTGGAGACATTTATTGCGGTACGGAACATGCTTTTGATCACCGCACGTTTGGTCTGCCGAGGATGCGCTGACCGCCAATGGAGAATTATATTTTTGTTGCTGAGCTTCCTATACCATTTTGTGACAAAGCTGCACCCCATGAGCTTGACCTGCACGTTAAGAAAAGGGAGCCAGCTCTCTGGCGACTTTCGGTTAGCTTGATATGCTCGGACTGCCTATTGATGAGGTCGAAGCATTTGACCATTTCCTCCTGTGTCGAGCAGACTACGAAGCAGTCGTCGATGTATCTGCAATACATCATGGGCAGACGCTCCAGAACGAGCGTTTCTATTTTAGCCATAAAAGCAATGGCCAGGCAAGGCGCCAGGCGTTGCTCCATGACTAAACCTCTAGTCTACGCGAAGTATCTCACTGACCACTTGAAAACGTTGCAGATGAGGCACTCTTGAGAAGCCCCATTACTTGTCTAACGGAAAACCCTTTCATGTTGAGAACGTGGCAGTGCTGGGTGAGAAGCTCTGAAACGCCTTCCATAGCAGATGAATTACTTACGTTGGTATACAGAGCTTCCACGTCGAATGATTCCATAACAAAGGAGCTATAGGGACGCACCCTTTTAAGTTAGCACAGGAACATCTGAGTGTTGGCAAGGTGCGATGGTATAAATTGAAGCAACTGGATCAGAATGGTGTTTAGGAACCAAGCTATCCTGTCAGTGGGACCCCCCATGCTGCTAACAATAGGTCTAACCTTGACAGAGGGAGCACGTACTGAGGTCAAATCGTCCGTTGATGAGAACTTATGAGTCTTGATAAGAAGATAAAGCACAGGGCAGCTTGGTGACTCTGATTTGAGACGTTTGATAGTTTTAGAGTCAAGGCTCGCCGATTTCGCTACCGTCACCCATTCTCGATTCAGCCTTCGGAACTGCGAAAGAAACTCTCTCTGAGGATGGACAGTAGAGGGAGTGATCTTCGAGGTGCCGTTCCGTTATTTCGTGATCAAGTTGACGAGGGATCACTACGAACTCCCCTCCCTTGTCACTGACCGACAGCCTTATGGTACGAAATTTGACTAGTTCTTGAAGCTGCCTAATTCCATGAATTCGCTCGCGAGAGAGATTGGATGGCAAGTGACGTTTTTGGTACCTACTAAACACCTTAAATACCTAATCAGCAAAAATCCGAAAGGTGGTGTCTGAAGCGAGATCAGGCTCCTGCTGTTTAAAGTAGGTTTGAGGGAAGGGAATGTTAGGTGCAGATGATGACAAGTTTGTAGGTAAGCCACTACTGCCTGCCTTAGCCTTATAGCGGAGACGATCCTGAAGCTCGTGTAGGCTGCAAATTACCTTACGCATGGTGTTACTGAAAACATGTTGCGAAGGTGAGAAGCTAGGACCCAACTCCAGAACAGACCGCGTGCAGTCAGGCAGGGGGAAATTTCCCAACACGGTTACCCTAGATTCGGATTGGCCTGATGCTCCTTCAATGTCGTCAGCTGGACCCACGGAAACCTGGTTGGTAACGGTGCGACTGAATCTCCCTACTGAAATACGTGATGAACTCAAAAGGGAAAAACCAAGATGTTTACGAAGAGAGTTAAAAAATCTTAAATTCTTTGCAATGATGACATCAGTTCACCTACATCAACTCGTATAAGAGCCAAAGTAACGTGTCGTGTTGTCGTCATCTAGATTACGCAATATCACTGAGATATCAGGTAAAATAAGGTGATCTCGTTGAACAGAGCAGATATGAAATGTGGTTTTTCTCATCAATCCACTCAGTTCTCACATTAATTAATTACGACATGGGAATATTTATTTAGTTTCCATAATTTTCATTTGACTCTAAATGTGGACTATCCAGTCGAAAACTAGAAGACACAACAAAGTGTCTGAAAAAGATGGCCAATGAACTGGAAATTGAGAAGCAAAAAACGGACGAGCTTCTATGTGAGCTGATGCCATCCTCGATAGCCGATGCTCTTCGACAAGGAAAAATGGTCGAAGCAAGTGAGGTTCAAAGATGGAGCCTTGACAATGAAATATATTCTGATCACTATCTCTTTAGGCGACTTCTCCGATTGTACGCTGCTCTTCACTGACATCGTAACATTCACAAATATATGCGCCAAGTGCACTCCATATGACGTGGTCACTTTGCTGAACGATCTGTACTTGCGATTCGACCGATTAATCGAACTGGTTCGCTACTTCAATCTTTTGTAGATATGAGTACGAAATATTACTATTCGTTCAACCTCTTCCTTTTTGGCAACAAATTTTTGGCATGCATGGCTCGGAATCTCTTTATTTTACCGAAGTCTAGTTGGTTAAGCATGACGTTTACAAAGTGGAAACCATAGGAGATGCGTACATGGTCGTTGGAGGAGTGCCAGATCCATGTGATAACCACTCAGAAAGAGTGCTGAACGTGTCTATTGGTAAGTTGTTTTATAAGAATATAGAGGAAACACCACTTCCCTTATGATTCCGATGATGACACCAATATTCCTTCCGCCTTATTCAAGATGCTAGGATAACTGATCAGTTGGGAGGGATGCCTGATAAGGACACAGACTTGCGCTGCACTTCGAAAGGGGTGAAGACAAAACAAAGTCCATGGGCAATCAATTGTAAAGGACCTCTTGGTTAGGATAGAGAGTGCAGTGGGAATTGAGACCGAGTCGTGAAACAGGTAAGTCTCTAGATACACGTTCGGTAAATCAATTTATCAGAACATGTCGATCTTGATTACACAATGATTCGATGCGCGGTGTCCGCAAACCTCAGTTTGGGTTCTGGTCCTAACGGGTTTGCCGCTTGTACCAATAATGCGCCAATTCAATATCGCATCTTCACTATCCTGCGACGAAATAGCAGAGAGTCAAGTTTGCTGTATGTTCCTTTCAGTCAGTCTAACAGAAGTAGAGAATCAGCAAACACTCTGCAACTAGCTGACTCTAATATCTAGGTAGCGCGAAGTGATTCTTTGAGTGCTCTGACTCAAGAGGAATCCTATGTTTGCATGAATCTTTGAACGGAGCCTAAGGCAAGTCATTAGAGTCTGGAAAGCTTTTCACAGTTATGGACGTCACTTTGCCATCTGGATCTTCCAAACCTGTGACGAAGTTATCAAATGCTGAAGTGAATATAACACATTATGTTTCAGAGGAGAATTCGGTTCGAGACACAGGTTGCAAAGACACAGGATTACCTTTAGGCAAGCGTCACCGTAGAGGCTTGTTGGGATTCCGCCCTAGAAGCAGCAGCTTGCCAATCTCTTCCTCTCTAACAACATAAAATTGTTATAATTGTTGAACTATGATAACTGGAAAGAACTTTCTCCCCGCTACGTTTGTCGCACGTCCTCTATTGCAAAACGTGGAGTAATCGAAATACGAGTCAATTGTCCATTCACGACACTGGCTGAGAAGCGCTTCGGTAGAAAAGTCTACGTCAAAAGTACCAGTAGTAAATTCACCGACTCTAGAACTCCGGAATTCCTGCAGTTTTTATGAACGCACTAAGTGCTCAATGGTATAATTATGTAGACGTCTATGATCTTTCTCGACTATGGACGTTCACTCACAGGAGAGATGTTACTTTGAAAAAGAAGAAAATTAACAAACATTCTTGATTCAGTTTAATAGTGGAATTTCCAAATGAAAACCTCTTGACATTCAAGTCGAACTTTTTTTGTTTCTGTTTTCCATCATTCGCCAGTATAGTGCGTGGCATAATCACATCTTATATTGGACTGCGCTAGAGATGCTGAAAAAGGCAAATTCGCCTTCTTGCAGTGCCCTCAGTTTCACTTAGAGGAAAGGGTACTGAGCAAGCGCAATGACTAGTATAAGTTATATATCCTGCTGACATTGCGAGTCTTTCCATACCATCGAAAAAGTTTTGGCGACGAATGACGATTTGACAGTTTTTTTGAAACAGGACTGCAGACGGTGGAAAATGCATAGGCTCAGTGAGCCTACGTGTGTATCAAGGTGTGTATATAGGATATTGAAGGGTGGAGGTGGTACAGTTGCAAGTGACGCATTATTTCATAAGCATAGTCATGGGCTTGAATACCGGCCAACCCGGATAGGGTAAGCAGGCCCTCAATCCGGCCTGTTAGGCCTAGGTTGGTCTGCCGGTTGATTGGTACCATTCTCGTCGGGGAGGATAAAAACACTGACTTGTATTTCATCGGCTGTAAAGGGCACATACGCATCCATTAAACTACTACGACTTTGAATGCGAATGGAACTTATAAATCTGCATAGAAAACGAAAATATCCGAACGCCATTATGACATCAAATGTGGACTGAACTGTGGGGAAATCCCAGAATAACGCTAACAAGGAAAGTTTTTCAGGGCGTGGGACGCTTTTTGAAAATGGTTTTTTGCATGGTATAGGGGCATGAGCACTGAGTATAGAACTATGATCCATTTCCGCTAAGTGGCTTCTGAATGACAAGAAAGGAGTGAAAATGATTTTGTCAGAATTTGCCATTTTAACCCAATAAGCGTCGTTTGTTTCATTCATGGCGTCGACTGTCCGCACAGTAGAAAGCGCCAGTGGACTGCACATTGAAAATAATGTGAACGGTAGCCAAAAAAGGGAGCCACATATTGAAAAACACGGGGAAGTTTCATATGTGCTCTCCATGGTTGAGCTGCTGGCAGCGACGGATGGTGTACTGGAGAGCGACGTGGACCTCGAGTTGGGACGGCTAGGCTGGGTTGGTGGCTTATTTATTTATTAGAACATGCACCTTACGTACATGAATTAAATAATATAAAAATGAAATGAGCCTCATAAAAACCATGAAACCAGTCTAATAAAAACCATGGGGGATGGTAGAGATCTAATAACGAACATAACAAACAGTCAACAAAAAAAAGAACAAGCAAAAGTAAAGAGTAATTGCAAAGAGGAGATAAGAGAACTAAAAGGACTATGTGACTAAAATGTGACCAACCTCCAAAGTAATGTAGAGTATGCTGTTTGAAAACAACCCGCTAACCATAGTACTTATTGATAGTTTTCCAATTCTACGATGCTTCTAGACACGGTAAACTTTTTAATGAACTTATTGTATTCCAAAGAAGCCCTTGCCGAGAAGAATTTCCTCGGAACCGCAGTATTCGGATTCCCGAAGCCACGCAGTTTTTGCATTTTGTGCTGACACCTCCAGATTGCTCCACATTGCACCAGGGCCAAAGCAATGAGCAATGAGCTCGGGATCATCGTCGGGACGGGAGCCAGTGAGCAGGTCAACTCGATCCCATGTCCTATGTCTTCGGCGCTTCCATCGTGTCTAGAGCGAACGACATCCGCAAATGCTATTCGATTCCACACAGATTCGGTGTAGGAGGTCGTCGTGGCCCGGCTTTCACGTTTTTAGTCGGTGCCATCTTTCGAGATGGACAGCGTCTCATCGAGGACTTCTCGGTCGTGCCAGAGGAGGCGGCCATGGGCCGCAGAAGGCAGCGTCTCGTTATTCTTTTGGTGCAACTGTCGCGGAGCAGCTACGCTTCACCAAACTGGCTCTGTTAGGGCAGAGCTACGCAGTCAGTACGTAGTTGGCAATCTTCTTCGGTGGGGTGTCCATGAACAGGTGCCTGTGTGTTCGGCTGCGGATGTGGATTCCATTGAGGGAACCTCAGCTATGCGTTGGGTTATTGAGTTCACGATCGTTACGCCTAAAAGAACACTAACGGACTTGGCAATAAAAAAATCATGGAGTGGGTGCCGGTACTCAGAAAATGATGACAGATCCGAAACATCCCTGCAGTATTCAAATACACACATAAGTAACGTTAAAGGTCATGGCCAATGTCATACATACAGGCCACGATTTAACCTCAACAGACGCTTTTGGCATCAGTCGTAGGAGTGAACGAGATGCGGTGGAATGCGCTGTGCGTGCGGTGCAGTGGCGCTGGTACCAAGTATGCCTGGGGATCGAACACACCTATGTGGTCGGCCAGGCCAGCCTATTCGTCCCCTCCACCTCCCTGGCTCATTGCTTTAGCCCTGGTGCAACATGGAGCCAAACTGGAGGTGGCAGCACAAAATGCAAAACGGCATGGCCTCGAGAATCCGAACCATCAACCCAGCCTAGCCGTCCCAACTCGAAGTCCACATCGCTATCCACCACACCATCTGTCGCTGCTAGCTGCTCAACCATGGACAGCCTATATGAGCTTCCCCGCACTTTTAACCATGTGTGTGTCCCTTTTTGGCTACCGTTCACGTTATTTTCACTACGCAGTCCACTGGCGCCTTCTTCTGTGCGGACAGTCGACGCCATGAATGAAACAAGCGACGATCAATGGGTTGAAACGGTAGTTTCTAACAAAATCATTTTCACTCCTTTTTTGGCATTCACAAGGCCATTTAGCGGAAATAGACCATAGATCTATACTCAGTGCTCATACCCCTATACGATGCAAAAAACCATTTTCAAAAAGCGTCCCACGCCCTGAAACACTTTCCTAGTAAGAGTAATTGACTTCAATCTTCAGTTACTTCGATGTAAATGATAAAGAGTTTTGATATCAGCTATGGCCTATTCCTCCAGCACTGCAATGTAGACCGTGGCTAGAATCTATTGTTACAAAACTATATTTTATGTTTTCTGGAGAGTTCAGGCTAGACAACGCATTAAAAGTGATTATATCGACTGCGATCTCAGCAATGTTATTATGGAGCTCAGGAAATGTTCTGTTTTCTCCGGCATCATCAGTCCGTGAATGAGTAATCAGTACCATGGATATTGCAATTATTTTGGTTTTTTTTTTTTGACTTTTTGGTTTTTTAGTCTTTTCCTTCACAATATCTTATATATATATATATATATATATATATATATAAGATATTGTGAAGGAGAAGACTGCTTATGCGTTGGACAGAAGTGCTCTATAGTAATTAGCTTATTTGTATTACAGTTATTTTGATCTTCTTTATTTATTGGTTTCTTTATTTGCGTCAGTCTATCGTACTGTTATTGATACTGTAAATTCATGGGAGAAAAATGTCAAGATCTTGCTCCATTATTAATGTTTGCAACCTGTGTTTTTGTGCGGAATATTTTAGCTCATGTTCATTGGCTTCTATTAGCTAACGAAAATTTTACTTTGTATAGCACTTCACACGGTAACGAATGTTATTTTCAGTCGATATCCAAAATTGTTAGAAATTCAAACGCACACGCAGATGAAATTTCATAGAAAGATTCGTATGAACTGCTGTGGAGGAATTGACCCACAATTTTAATTTGAGAAGTAGAGTAAGCATGACATTATTAACGTAGTGTATCACCTGTACCACCTGTCGTCCCGTTGATCATCGACTTCCCCGGGCGCCAGTAACGTCTCCATTCGTCCCTGTCACGAGCCAGAGTGGTCCAGTGAATCGTCCTCGCTTCAGGGACACGAGGGGTAACATTCCTTTCGTTCAGAGCTTTCGTGAGGAAGTCTGACCATCTCGTTAGCGGCCTTCCTGGAGTTCGTTTGATGTTCCGAGTGATCTAGTCAGTAACCGCCCTGGTCCAACGGTCATCACTATGTTTTGACTTGATGTTTTGTTAACTGCTGTTTTACCTCCGCAGTACGCGAAGCGAAAGTCTCACAAGGTTGGCGATTTGTGGGCAAAACTCCAGTCTCGGACGGGACTCGAACCCGTACTTGCCCTTTCCGGGGACCGTGCTCTTATCCCTTACACTACCGAGACCTGGAGAGAGTCCAGGTCTCCGAGGCGTACGTCAAAGCAGGAAGGACAACAGTGTTGAAAAGGTGAGCGCGGAGCCGGATGTTCTTTGTCCTCTTCACTACTCCCTCGATATTCTTTGATGCTCTCCACGCGGCGCGTTTCCTTCTGCACAGCTCTGGAGCTAGGTTGTTCATCATATTGACTTCCCGACCTAGATACACATAGCTAGAGCATTCGGAGATATTCGTTCCGTTTAACGTGAAAGGAGCATCAGGTACCAGTCCGTTTTTCAAGAACATCGTTTTCGTTAGGTTCAGCCTCAAGCCGATCTTTCCACAGGCACTATCAAACTCGGCCAGCATTCGTTCCGCCTGCTCGATGTTTGGTGACATAAGCAACATGTCTTCTGCAAAGCGGAGATGATGTAGGAAGCGGCCGTCGACCTTCACCCCCAAGTCTTCCCATTCTAAATGGCGCATGATATTCTCGAGGGCGGCACTGAAAAGTTTGGGCGAAATAGTATCGCCTTGCCGGACACCTCTCTTCACGTTGACAATGACTTCCTTGTAGAATGGTGAAATCCTGGTCGTGAAGCTGTCGTAGAGCTCACGAAGCATCCTTATATATTGAGTAGGAACCTCCTGGTTGCCCAGGGCTTCAATTACCGCTTCTGTCTCAACGGTGTCGAAGGCTTTCTTCAAGTCGATAAAAGTAAGACATAGCGACATTTTGTACTCTCGCGATACTTCAATGAGCCTTGTTAGGGTGNTGATGGCATGTCGTATTTCGGAAGGGAGAACCGAAGGAGCGATATATTCGTCTTGAATAAGATGGTGAGTAGGCAGGTAGACGTGGCTGTCGAAGAGATCCAAGTAGAAGTCGTAGATGACCTTCTCCATTGCCCTCCTGGATACAGTAACGGTTCCGTCAGGACGACATAGGGAGGTCATCTTGGTCTTGTAATTGGCGAAGCTCCGTCGGGCTTTGCGAATGCTCTTTCCGGTCTCGGCGGCTTCGTCCATGACTGCTGCTCTTCTCTCTTTCAGATCTTCCTTTATCGCTTCTCTGCATAGCTTCGCAAGTTCGGACGTTTGTTGATAATTGCCTGTAGCTCGCGCGATTCCACGCTGGCGTATCAGCTCGAGAGTCTTCGAAGAGAGTCGTCTCTTGGCTACTTGTAGGCTCTCTGCTTTCGTAGCACTATCGTGAAGATGCTCGACGAGCCGGTTGTATTCTTCGTCGATGTTGTTGATAACGGCATCTTCCCATTTACTCGCAAGGGAAGCGAAGTGGTCCCAGTTGATGAAGGTCTTGGGACTTCGTTCCCGAAAGTTCATAGCTCTCTCCCCACGCACTGAGAAGCAGAATCTAGCGAGGAGGAGACGATGGTCCAATCCAGTGTAGAACTTCAGAACAACGGCGACGTCGGTCAGGCAAAATCTCCGATAGAAGATGATGTGGTCTATTTCATTATGGAACTGTCCATCAGATGACTCCTATGTCCATCGGGAGAGGGCTCCAGGAACTGCGAGTTACCATGGATTATGGGTCGACATGATAAACTAGGGCAGCCTTTCACCCTGCTCATTCCATTCCACTCCGCGAGTCCCAATGTGGAGCTCTCTGGCGGTTCTTCTGGAGCAAATCTTGACGTTGAAACCACCGACGATGACCTCGGAGAAAGTTTGTTCTTCTTTGTAGAGCCTCTCCAGATCCATATAAAACGCTTCCAACTCCTCTTCGTAGCTTGATGTTGGTGCGTAAGCAACGAAGATGGTAAGGGCTGGGATTAATAAAGATTAACGGAGTGTAGAAGCAATAAATAAACAAAATTTCGAAAGCTTCAAGAATGAACTTAATCTTCAGTACCCATTTCGCCTACAAACAAAAGAAGGATACTAGAAGACAACGGTCGTTCAAGATGAGGTGCATACCGCTGCATTTGTTCTGAACGTTGATCTTTGTCATTTCAAATGTGCGACTGTTGTCCTCTGAGAGCTGAAAGAACAAGGCGTGTGTGTTACCAAATTCAGTCAAACACCTGAGCGCATCGAGTCAAAGTGGCGGATGTGGAGGGAAGGTAGTACACGTGGGGCCACCGACTCATAAGTGCAGCCTAGGATTTTGCGTTCTTAATTAATGGACGTGTTTTGAGATTTTGCCTCTGCAATGACTGAACTCATGTAAGTATCACTGAAGTGTAGGATTGCGTTACGTCTCACCTTTATCGTAATGAGATACTGATAATCCTCCAAGCTTCAATAAAAGCTTCGAACAAAAAAGAGTTAGTTTTTATAGTGTTCGATGATAATTTGTGAACTTCACAATAACACCACGACCAGAATTTGATATCCTACGAGTGGGTCATCACAGTCTTAAGAGAAGGTGTGAACGATGCAGTACCGTCTCACTAGTTGAGTGCTTCATCCCTGACCAAATAACGTCAGATGAAATGGCAAGATTATGCAATGAACGTTGGCTGCAGGTAGTTCCACCACTTCTAATTCGTTGGCTACATCACCTATTAACACAGAAACTAGTGCAGGCGAAAAAATCAACGGTTGAGTGGCCGGGTTTGCGGAAAGAGCATGTGCAACGGTACCGGATGGCGATTCCTGAAAGGAACTCTTTTTTGCATCTAGTTATCCGCCCAACCTGGCAAACATTTTTAGTGCCTCGGCGTCGAAAATGTTTCGGTTCGAGCAGAGACAAGCGAGCTGCACGAGGTGCATTCAACAAAATCGAGGGACTGGTAGAGAAGGGAAGTGATATCAGGTTGAGAGAGCTTCAGAAGCTTTGATTGTAAGCATGCATATTGTGCATGCAGCCAGTGTTACTCAACGGGCTACGGAAGACATTTCTCCAAACATACAAGTCCAGATACGGTAGAGGGGCTCCGAAGTTCTCAGAGTTGTTGCGAACAGAGGGTAATGATGATGCTGTCACAGGTGCATGGAACCAAGCATCAACTGTGCAGGTCATGATACCTTCTGATGATTGTTGGGCGAAGACGATCACCAACTGGATCAGTAAGAACAAGATCAAGTTTTTCTGGTCAACATGAGGGCCAAGCCTTGTTTGTTGAACTATAGGCCAGAGAACTGACATGTTTTGTGTTCTTCAGCCAAAGACAAATGGTTGATCTGAAATGGTTCATGACAGGGACCAATGTTCACGTAAGTGTGCCTTTCTCTCAAACAAGCACATGACATCTGGGCGGCAGGTGACACGGCAGCTGGTTCTGTAAAGGTGTGAGCATGCCGAGGAAGCTGAGGTAGAAGCGGTTCGGGCAGGCTCCGTTTTCGTGCTTGGTATCAGAGCCGCTTTTAATTTTTTCCATTATCAAGAACGAGACATTCTACTCATTTCTTTCTATTGAATTCACCAGACTTCTTTACTACGGAAGGTTTTTTGTGTGAAGGTCTCAAGATTCAAGATTGTTGAAACTTCGTTCCGTACTGTGCCACTATCTACTAACGAGAGCGCAAGTCCTTCAAAATACGTCATCATATCGAAAGACGCACCTGGTATACAGAACTCGGAGAATAAGAAAACCCCAACATACTATTGTTCATGCCCACTGTGTTCTGCAGTGCTAACCTGTATCTTATAAGTTGCGACGATAACCATGCCTCACTTCATTGATAGCATTCTAAAAGCAAGTCTCTCGTTATAGCCTGATTGCAAATTTAAGCACCATGCCAAGTCAGGAGGTCAGATGTTAACTTCGTTATTATTTCTACAACCCCTTCTCGGAAGCTGGGCTGGAAACTTGTTTATATTTATAGGTTTACTCATGGAATCAAAGTTAGTCTTGTCTCCCATCACACATAAGCCAATCAAAATACGTGTTGGTGTTCACGCCGGCCCTGTCGTTGCTGGTGTAGTTGGAATGAAAATGCCACGGTATCATTAAAAAGTTAGAGCAATGGAAAGTTTACGTATCGTGATGCGTATTCCTTAAAGGTACTGCTTGTTTGGTGACTCCGTTAATGTTGCAAACAAAATGGAGTCATGCGGCGTTCCAGTTAGAATTCATGTTTCGGGAAGTGCAAAATCAAATGCTCTGCGAACAAACCAAAACTTCGTATTCATTGACAGAGGACTGACTGAAATCAAGGTGAGCAGTGTCAATAAAGCAAGCTTGTATAAGCCAAAATATTAATACTGCTACAGCAGTGACACTATAGTTCTTCGCAAGGCCCACATTTGCATAACACAACTTCATATTCTTTTTTCTTTGCTCTGGTCAGGGCTCTCAGAAGCAATTCCATCTCTTCTCACTCCTTTGCCACTATTCCTTGGTTTTAGCAAGCAATTCCCGTTGAAAAATTAGCAGGATTTTCAGGGCAAGGGACTCATGTACACATATTTCCTGGAGAGAAACGACAGAAAAAGTGTGTGGGAACTCTGTGCTCGCTCACGCTGTAAGAGCTTACAAATTCGAATAATTACACATAAAAGCAGGAACCGTTGACAGTTTCAGCCGGTGATCAAACAATAGATGGTTATATGGAACTACACGACTCCTCCATCTATCTTGAAAACGAATCGCAGTCCACAATAGGAAGTACAGAAAAAAAGGTAGTAGAGAAGTCGAGGTGTTCAATAAGCATTTAGTCGTAGAATAATGAGTGCTTTCAGTGATGCTGTTCGGTCTTTGAAAATCGTTTTCTACAAATAGTAATCGTAAAAGCTTATAAATCAATCTCTAATATTCTCTGATATTAATATTTCTGGACCTTTCAAATCGCTATCAAGGCGAACTCGGAAATAGTGCATCTAGACCACATAAATTAGGCCTCCTTTCAGATGCGGGGTTCTTTTTTGAAGTAGAAACATTGCTTGGGCTAACAATAAACAGTAGGCTGGTCATGGAGGAGAAAATCGTGCGTTAAGCCCATCCTCATGCTTCGCTTCAATATTTTCGAGATATCCCGCCAAACGTGGGAGGACGCGAGAATCGGTAATTTGGATTTGAGGCATTCAACTTTGCTAGGGATGAAGGCGGTAGTATAGGGATGCTGATGGGAGATAGCATGACTCGAGTCGGCCCGCAGGAGACGGGACGTATACGAGAATTGTTGGACCAGAGGTGTTCAAATTTGGAACGAGTGTAAGCGACAGATTCATGACCCCGGATGTTAGGTAGTAGAAAGTGACTGACTATCCCTCCTGCGGAAGCATAGAGGGGGGGGGGGGGGGGAGGAGGCGAATCATGCGCGAAATGAGCGTAAAGTGAGTGAAAACACGCAGTCAAATTGGGATAAGAAGGACTGAACCAAGTTACTGGAGCCCACAGAAGTGAGTGGTTCTTCGCTCATGGCGGGAGGACGCGCACGGAGTGTATCGGTGTGTGAGTTTTGCTGAAAGTCAATAGCTCCTACTTTCTCGTACCAGTTTTTTAAACATGGGAGAATGCAGGCGGTAAGTCAACTTCAACACAAGAAGGAGGAGAGGAGTACATAAGGATTCGACTAGACTTGAAAAAAACTCGACATTCTTGAATCCTAGCTTATCAGCTCCACACAATAAGCTGTTTATTTCACAAAACTTCATGTTAGGAAATTGAAACTGTAAGCGATGGATGATACTTTCAGGGAAATGGAGTGGAAGCGCCCACTACAACCATTCGCGTTCGTTCTTACACATGCATTATTCTTTGATTGTTTCTAAGGAATAAAAGTAGGAGCAGTTCTGTTTTTTACGAAGCTCTTATCGGTTTATCGCATGAATAGTTTGCTAAGCAGACCAATGCACGAATACACTCGCTGCACGAAAATCCTCTCTCTACAGAAAGATATTTTGGAAGAAAAAACACCCATGCGGTGACGATTATGCTTCTATTACATTTCCAGTTCAAACGAAAGATTGACACAAATTTTGTGGTGAACTGCTCAAAAACATTTTTTCGGAACTCTTTTTTTACGAACCGAACAAAACTTCGAACACCAATTCACAGTTACCCGTTCCTCAAAAGGAGGAAATGCACGCCGTTGCAGGCGAGCCCTCGACAGGAAAAACATTTTCCATTAGGAATGCTCTTACCTTACCCTCCTTCCCTTTGATGATAACGAGCATCCATCTACGTATTTCTTCCATCGAGTGAATGATATATTCAATTTGTCATGATTTTCTAGACATAGCAGGTGCATAACCCTATACGTACTCTTTCCTTCGCACCCATCCACCAAAACCAAAGGTCTAAGAAGAATTGCACAAGTTTTTGAACAAAAAATGCTGTTGCTGAACTAACATTTTTGTGCTTATATCAAGAGGAAAAACTTTGCTGAGATGAGCTACGATAGCGATGTGGTACACATGGTACCACACATGTGTGGTTAGAGAAAAACCTAACAGTATTATATTTCGGCTATGAGAGCAGCTACCTGTTTCCTTCTCTAATGGGAGACTAAATTCGTATGAGTGCTCGATAGTAGGATTCACAGCTCAAATCGAAATGATCAAGCTCTATTAATGATGAATAGAACGAAAGATAGTAAAATAAACACTCTTTTAAGAGAACGTGGAATATTCGGCTAGAAAATAGATTACAGCGTTTTACGTTCATCTTCGGGGAACATTTTGAAATGCTTTCGCTGCTTATTAAAACTGTCATCAATATTGTGTGTTCTACACATGAATAAACGACAACTCTTCTCCACACATGGCGGCAATGGCGCCAGAGAAAAAGATGCAGTACGAAGAAGCTACAGATCAAGTCTCCGGGGCGATATTCTACGGTCCAAAACACGGAATTATGCTTTGAAAAACGTGGATAATACCATAATACCATTTACGATTTACGATAGCCCACAAGAAAGGATCCTATGAGCCTTACCGATGAGCTATTTTGACGTTGCTCTGCTTCCGAGGCTTTTTCCAAAACCCGCCTCGATTTCCCCAGTTTTAGTCGCCGTACCAAGCTCTCGTCCACTGAAAGATAGATCATTCGAACGCAAAGAAGTTTCATTGCCGAAAAACTGCTTGCAAAGGACAAGCTTTACAATCTATCAGAGGTGTTCTCGTTACCGACAAAAAATATAGTACGGCCGCAAATATTCTACATCAAATACAATGAATTGCCGCTATTCGTCCAATTCTAGATGTACGACACGACAAAAGGAGGACGGATGAGCTTTACTCCCAATCACCTAATAGACGTACTCTCGGACGTGGTGAGGAAAAAAAGTTACATTACGGCAGGTCGAAAATCCCATCCCCTCCTTCTCCTCAGATAACTTCGAAACTTTCAAACTTAAACAGCAGGAGATGCGCAATGGAACGGAAGCCCACATCTCTCACAAATTTACACCGAACGCCTTGTCCCTTCTGTTTCAGGTCTATTCATGGTGCATTCCAATGTTGCGACTTCAACACCCCCAGCCGAAAGGCGTGACTCACCAGAACGATTTGTTTTAAGTGTCTACAACCGAATCACAGAACAAATGGTGCAAGCGATCGCTCTGCAACATACCTGCAATCATAATCCCTCTCTTAGTTATCATTCTAAACCACTGCAAAACGAAATCTTATCAAAAAGAAGTGCCAATAACTTCATCAACAACAACTCTCCATTTCCAAAAGATACAATCAATAACACATCGAGAGGAATGAAAGTTATGAACTGTAGAAAACTCAAGCAAGCTCGCTCCATAACTGATATGGTGAGTTTCTCAAAGGATGTGACAGTAAACGATACTAAAATTGGATACTGGAGAAGAAGAGTAAGGATCAAATTTGAAGTTTCTGTTACACCGAAACCAATCCAACAACAGCTAAGGCAGAGGACAACGAACAGCGGAATAACAACAAAGAAGTCCTGGTAATATGCACGGAAGTCACACTAGTCAATCAAGATGGCAACTGCAAGACCGCGAAGACTTCGATCTTTCTGAATAGTGGTTCAACACATTCATGTATTACAGTAGGGACGCTGAGAATATGGAACTAAGCCAAATGAAGGAGAAGAACATTACGCTTTACGCATTCGGAAATAAGGAGTCACAGACACTATCAACAAAGCAGTACGATCTGCATCCCATTACTAAACAACTCCTTGTACCCTACGGGAGAACGAACCCTCCCTTTCCTTACAAATTCCTACCATTGTCCTACGACCTCCAGTCTCTACCAAACGAGATTGTCCACAGTTTTTCGGCACCCAGAAAACACGGATGCACGGAAATTCTTGTTGGAATAGATTACTTTTGGCGATTGATCCCTTCCTCCGATTTCCATTCCTCAACATTACCTAGTGACCATTACCTATTGACCACTACTTCTGTTTATGTGCGCAACGTGAACTGGAAATGAGTTGTTCGAGGGCATCAGTGTTTGAAAAGCATGATTGACAACAACTTCAGGAGGAGAGTGAAGTTTTCGAACAATTTGATACCTTTCGTTGTAGAGATTCTACAACCCCCCAACCTGTAAACCCGGAGCTAGTGTTTCAGATGTCCTTTCTCCTTAATCACATTCAACGTAACGCACGAATGACTCCACTACGTAACGCACGAATGAAAGGTCGTCGTCGTTGTCATTGTAAAAAGCCGAATAGTTGATTAATTGTTCAATTGGTTAAGTTGCCTATTCGAAGAAGGATGGGCTAATTCGCGGGTAGGTTGGATCCCAGATCACAACAATACACAACAATCATTGTGGTCCGGCTTGAGGTATTAAATAGCTCCGGTGATGGCTGGATTGCCTCCCATCAAGCCATTGCGCTAATCGGCTCCTCTGATATCCCATTTCTTACGCTCATGCTGTGTCTATTCAGGAGCACGCCTATGATCGAACAACAATTACCATGCAGAATTACTTTTTTTAAATACTAGCTATGGTGGGCTCGCGGTAATACCACGTTTTGAAATCCATTTCAGAGTCCTTTCGGTAGGGTATGAGTAGATTTTTCGGAAAAATAAAGTTGCCCACCAAATTTTTCGGTTGCTCAAACAAATCTAGTCACTGTCGGCTAACTTGAAATGTCGCTGGCTTTTTTTTGAGAACCATGTTGGACGGTTACCCTGTGAGTGTGAGAACTTTGGGGGCATCTTAGCTTCATATCGAACTATGGCTCGGATAGGTGTAGGTCAATCATTTTCCCGTATTCTTCGATTTACGTGCGACTTTGTTTCACACAACTTTTTTTTTAAATTCACAACTCTTGTAATCGCGCTGCAGAACATGAACATCGCTTGGAGTTCTACCATAGTCAAGTGCATTTGTTCATTTCCTATACAGATTTTTTAGAGTTTAATTAGAGCAAAAAGCTGGCATAATAATGATTTCAACGATAATTATTATGCTAAACTCTGTCTAGCAGTTTCAACGCTTATTTTGATAACTAATAGTAAAGACAAAAGCTTTACCTCTAATCATCGCGCTTCCTTGAAATGGGCGTGTGGCGCTTATTTTTATGAGGTACATGAGTGTAGTTGTTATTAGAATATTGGCACAGGGAGTGTCTCGGATAAAAATATAAGCTCAATAGGTACGATTCACATTTTCTGATCATGTGAATTAAGTAACAGAGTTAGAAAACCTAGAAAAAGCCGAAGCGTTTTGTCGCGTTAGTAGAAATGAAGGGAACAGCATCTTGCTAACATTAGCATTCGAAC